GAGAGCCGAACATGATGGCCACCTCCAGACGTTTCTTCAGGTAGCAAAGAAGGCTGGGCTAACGTTCAATGAAAAAAAATGTACAATCGGCGCAACTCAAATTGACTTCTTGGGGGAACTTGATCAGCAAAAATAGAATAGGTCCAAACCCTTCTATGACAAAGCCGTTACGTGAAATGTCTAAGCCAATCAACAAAGCTGGGGTGCACAGAAAGTTTGGGGTAATTAATTACTTCGGCAAATACATACACAATTTGGCTGAAAAAAAACAACGTCCCGTGCACACAGGCTTGGAACATATGTACAGAACAAATGTCGACCTGTTATTGTTCGCTTCAGTTCGTTCAAAACAAGAGAAAGTGTCTTTACTAAGAAATCGATGCTTCGCAGCACCCCCGTGTCAGTTAGCGAAGATTTCTGCAAGGCCACGCGCCACATCCAGAAAAAACTTTTAAATTTCGCGAAAAGCACTGGGCAGCCATATTACTTGAAGTATAACAAGACACTAATCAACAAGAAAGCCTACGTTTATTGTCCGGTCACCGATCGTGTAACTGAGGCAGGACCTATTTATGATAACCCCGTCCACGTTGCTCCCGAAGTAAGCAATGCAGAATGCGCAGGGGCCAGCGCTCCTCCTTCACATCGATAGCTAGATAAGCATTTTCGAGCTCACGAATTTTCTTTTTTGCTATGTAATTCTCGAAGTGTTACTAACAAGCGTGATGCCCTATCTGCACTAATAAATACATGTCTAGCTGATGTCGTCGTAGTAACTGACACTTGGCTGTCCGCGGAAATTGAAAATAACGAAATATTTAACTGTTCAAAAAAGTTTAAATTTTACCGCTGTGACTGGGGTACCAGGTGCGGGGGCGGCGTATTGATTGCCATTAGCGACGAGAGTAGCTCGTTCAGCGTGCCTGTTGTTTCACCGCTTGAAATTGTTGTCGTGCGTGTTCGCATTAACCACAAAGATATCGTTGTTTGTGGCTGCTACCGGCCTCCTAACCTTACTACCGGTTTCGCAAATGAATCACACGATGTACTAAATACGTTGCGAGTAAGGTTTCCGGCTGCGCCTATGTTTCTCCTAGGTGACTTTAACTTTCCTAATGTTTCGTGGTCTCCCCCTTTCCCAATAATTTCATCAACTTCTGCTGACAGAGCTGCCTTTCTTGATGTGTGTTCAGACTTTAACCTTACCCAGCTGGTTAACGCTCCAACCCGCATTACCTTGTCCACTTCCTCAGTTCTAGACTTGGTGCTGACCACGCATCCCGACCTAATTAAATCCCTATCAGTTATTCCGGGCATAAGCGACCATCTAGCTATTCATTTTAACATGACTAAAACAACTAAAAGAAATGATAGCTCAAAAGTTTTTAGGGACTACAAAAGAGCCGACTATGTTTCAATTAATAATGAGCTTCAGCTTTTCTTAAACGATTACTTTTCGCAATTTCTGGAAAGTTCCGTGCAACAAAACTGGAATTTGTTTAAGCAGAAGGTAGCAGAACTTATCAATCTTTTTATTCCACTCCGCAGAATTAGGCAAAATGCAAAGTCCCCTTGGTTCACGCTTACCCTAAAACGACTACTGAATAAAAAGAAACGAATTTTTCGAAGGGCAAAGCTAACTAACAACGCGGAAAGGTGGTAGTCCGCTTATCATCACGCAGCTGACGAGTACACTCGCGCATTATCCGTTGCAAAAGAAAATTATTATCAACAAACGCTTCCCTCCCTGCTTGCAACTAACCCACAGAAATTTTGGCAGATGATTAGGGGAAATGAAAAAAAGGTGATGGAATTAATCCATAATGATAACAGCCGTGTACCAAAAGAAAAGTGTTGTGTCATTTTAAGCTCTGTGTTTTCATCGTGCTTTGTTAAACCTACAGCACTTTCCTTTCCCGATACCCCCACCCATAACTTTGTTCCCATGGAACCCCTTTTATTTGACTGTGTCGGCATACAAAAATTGATAGAAAACATGAAATTAGCCAGTACTCCAGGTGAAGACGGTATCTGTGCAAAGTTTTTGCATAATACCTCTGTTTACTCATCTGTCATTTTATGTAAGCTTTTCACACAGTCTTTGGAATGTCATTGCCTCGCGGGCGACTGGAAAGCGGGAAAGGTGGTTCCTCTTCACAAATCAGGTGACATTCATAACCCCCGCCATTACAGGCCCATATCGTTAACAAGTATACCGTGTAAGCTCATGGAACACGTCATCTACTCCCACATAATCACTTTTTTAGCAAACAACTCGTTCCTTAGTGATCACCAGCATGGATTCCGGAAACAGTACTCGTGTGAGACCCAACTTCTCTGCTTTACTAATGACTTTTTTCTTGCCATTGACGCTTCTTTCATTGTTGACTGTATTTTTCTCGACTTTGCTAAAGCTTTTGACACTGTATGCCGTAAACTGCTACTGCTAAAACTAAGCAAACTTAATCTTGATGCTAACATATTAAAATGGATTGAATGCTTTCTAATAGACCGCTCCCAATTTGTAACTGCGAGTGAATCCAACTCCCCCCTTTCACCCGTAACCTCTGGCGTCCCCCAAGGATCCGTTCTTGGCCCACTACTCTTCCTGATTTACATTAACAATTTGCCACATAACATCTCTTCTTCTATTAAACTTTTCGCCGATGATTGTGTTATTTACCGCGAAATTAAAACCCCTTCTGACCACCTTGCCCGTCATTGTGACTTGGACAATGTCTCATCTTGGTGCGATACTTGGCTAATGCAAGGTAATTAATGCAAGGTAATTAGAGTTTCACGTCGAACATGCAATATTTCTACTAACTACGTACTTAACAATTCTCCCCTTACTAAAGTTAGCTCTTACAAGTACCTTGGCGTTACAGTTTCTGACAACCTTTCCTGGCAGTCTCACATTCACCTTATTAAAAATAATGCTAACCACACACTTGGTTATTTACGCCGTAGCTTCTCCCTTGCTCCGATGCAACTGAAACTTCTGCTCTATAAAACATTAGTCCGAACAAAGCTAGAATATTCATCATCTGTATGGGATCTCCACGTAAACATCCATATCAGTAGCATCGAAGCAATTCAAAATTGCGCCGCTCGTTTCATTTTGTCGAACTATTCCCGTACAGCAAGCGTAACCCATATGAAGTCAACCTTAAATCTACCTAGCCTATCATTTCGCCGCAAAATCTCGCGCTTGTGCCTCTTTCACAAGTTGTACCGTACCATGCACTCGCTGAGTAACTCGCTTTTTTTGCTGCCATCCTACATTTCATCCCGCAGCGATCACCACTTCAAAGTTGGAATTACAAGCAGCCATACAAACTTCCATTTTAATTAATTCGTGCCCAAAACAAGCACGGACTGGAATCACCTCCCCGCTTCCATCGCATCCATCACTGACCCGGCCAACTTAAAGAGTACAATAAACGCATACCCTTTTTAAACATGCTCCATTTGTTTGCACAGATTGTTACTTGTTTTTCCACCACTCCTCTCTGTAACGCCTTGTGCATTGAGAGAAAATAAATGAAATGAAATAAATGAAATGAAACTTGGTGCCTACGCTGCTTACGGACATATATGTCTTAGGTCCCGCCTTGAATAAAATCGGTTGTCTGCTGGCGCCTACGTTGATCTTCCTTCGGGATGAAACCTTATTCGTGTCAATATTCAACACAAATAGAATTAATAATAAAATTAGTCCTACAATTATTGTTTTGAAGTGATGAACATTGATATAGATAGTTTCTGCTCTATAATTTCATCTTCCTTTTCCTTTTTGTGAACACAACCCCCTTGAATTTTTTGCTTGTTTCACGTGACACAAATTCGATTTTTTGTATGGCTGACTTATAGTAAGGCTGTTGGAACAGTAAGACTGTTGTATATTGTTGTAGAACAGACTGTTGTATATTGTCTAGATAGTAAGACTGTTGCAACAGTAAGATTGTAAGATTGTTGTATATTGTTGCGCATAAGAACGCAGCTATTGAAGGCCAGTGCACGTGCTCGCTTTTACGAGATTCTACAACTAAATTATTACCCTAACAAAGCCCCACACATGGCGTCACCGCTCTGCATGTTTTGCAACGAAACTGAAACAATTGAACATTTTTTTTTATTCTGTCGTCACTACTCTTATCAGAGAAAAAAGGTTTTTGTAGCCCCAATACAAAAGCTAGGAATGCAAGTAAGTCTACCAGTACTTTTATCACTGCGGCACTTCATTTGGTTATCGCCACAGGGACATGTGTTCCACTGTGTTTCATTACACCATTGCAACAAAAAGATTACCGTACTAGTGAACCCTAACCTTTTCAGATCTTCAGAATATTATTCGTGGCAATGTTTCTTACGAAGAGGAGATGGTTTGACCACTTGCTCAGCAAACATTTTTGTTTATAGGCAGTATTATTTCTAAACAAATTTTTCAGATTGGCTTCAATTTCATTTTAGTTTCATTAAGGTATCCTGCCACCCGGTTCTTCGTTCACCACACTCTGTGGTTCAGCTCCATCCATATGTGGTCATCAGCATCAGCAGATGGAAAACGACGACGCTGAGAGATCCGACCTGTTTGCATCTCGTCTTCTTTAGGACATTGAATTAATTATACTCAGTGGTAATCAATCCCCGCTGCATGACAGATACTACAACAGAAGGACGGACCAAGGTTCAACACGTGCTCGAACCTGCCGAAGGCGCAACGGCAAAAATGTTTCGCCAGTCGCAAATCGCAGACGACCATCATTATGAAAGTAACGTTCTCTTCTTCGAAAAGTGAAGCCGACAAAACGTTCGCACGAGCTCGGCAGACTAGTCGCTTGGTATGGCTACGTGCAGATGACTGCAAGTGTAGCCCCGCTAGAGACTGCACCGCACGACTGCTCCGCCGCCAACGACCACGCTGCTCGACGGCGCACGCTGAGGACTTTTGGCGGATACGCGATCTACGCGGTGTTCGTCGTGTTCTGGCTACTGCGATGGCTCTGCATGTCACCGTGGTGGTGTTCGTTTTCAGCGGTAACCGCAGCGCTCGCCACGAAGAGCGCCACTACGGTCACCTCTCAGCGACCGGTGGCAGCTCCGACGCAATGGCGGCGTCCAGTGGGAACCCTTCTGTGAATCTGCTCATACGAATGAAACAATACCACAAGCGGGCCTTCAACTTCATCTCCAAGGCGCTCAAGTATGACGAGTTGGCCAATGACCTCTACCCCAAAGATATAGAGGAACTACAGAAAAGCATCGACAACAACTTCGCTCAAAAAAAATGTCCTTTATGGGAGTGGACGCACAGGCTTACTGATAAGATGAAGGTGAACCTCGACATGGCCAAGGACAGGCTAGACTTCTTAAAGAGCATGGTAAAGATAGAAAACGTCGGCGATGATTTGTCCTGGCATGCGAGCGTGGCCCGGCCTCAGGCCAACGAGAAGCGCCGAGGATGGCAGAAGGCGGCACAAGGCCACGACGCAGCCCCAATACTAGGCGGTCCCACGTGGCAAAAAATGGCCGAAAATTGCGGTCCTGGCGGCCAAGTGAATGACAGCTCGCCACCTCTGCCGCCGCGTTCGGGTGTTATGCTGAAGAACCAGGCCGCAAAAGCATCACGGCTGTGAGTAGCCATGCAGGCAGTCACCCCACGATCCCAGACATTACCTGGGAACACAACGGTTGGAGGTGCTGGGACGACAGACAAGTCCTCGTCATGGGTTTCTCAGCCAGCTGCCAATGAAGCTGGACCATTGCCGACGGCAGCGAGGTGGCCGCTACCCGCAGTAACCAAACGCACAGCAGCCCAAGGGTGTACAGCCACATACTGCAGCAGCGGCCCGACTCCAAACGATCCTTTCGTGGCGGTAGAGAAGGAAGGCGGGTGTGGACACTAAAGGGCGTGGGCTCGCTATTCGCCCACATGATTCTCGACGAGATCCGAGACGGTGGGCCTGAGGTGCTTTCCCGTGACATTGCTAGTCAAGAAGTGACCAAGCATGAACTAATTGAAATGGTGATACTGCCCACAGACAGGCCAGAGCTGTTCACAAGTTTTTGAGCACTGTCTAAGGGCCTGTTTCTCTTTGGGCCACAAGGCAACGCGAAGACGATGCTGGTGATGGCAGTCGCCCATGAATCCCACTCTACGTTCTTGAACATCTGCATGGCTTCGCTAATTTTGAAAGATGTTAGTGATGGAGAGAAGCTGGTTCGTGCTTTAATTCCTGTTGCACGAGAACTGCAGCCTAGCTTTTTTTTTAATTAAGTATGGTAGAATAATTATTAGTACTGGTGATTCTTCAATATTTATGTTTATTTCTTTTCATGCGAGACTGCTTGAATAATAAAACCTTTTGTCATTTTGTACAAGTTACTTTACCACTTTTAATTTCATGTTTTTCTTTTGCTTGAGTATTGTTATGATAGTGAACTTTGTGTTACTTTGGTTAGGTAATCTGTATCGACTTCAACAAAATTGTAAAAGAAGTATCGGGATACACACGTATAAGATTAGGTAAGAGAGCGTGTGGCGGGTGCACATGGAGATTAGGCATGTGAACGTGTATATTCGAAGTGCACCTTATTAATACAATAAAAATTGTTCGTCATAAAAAGAGTGCAAATACCCATCAAATTGATTATTCAGAATCAATGCGCTCAGTGCAAAACGCTTGACTTTACTATTTTTTGTAGAGACCAATAATTTCGTAATCGCTGTGGAAAATGATAATAAAAATAATTCAAAAGCGCTCATTGGACTGTGTTCTTGCTCATAAAGGGTGCTGTAGGTCCCAGAAGATGCCATTCTTTCATTTATGTCGGTTAAAATGGGATGTGTTTGTTTGCTTTCTCGGTTTTGTTGAAGCTTGCCAACGAACTGTGTATGATTGCTTGAATATTTAAATTATTCGACCGTTCTTGAAGCAATTAAGCTCGTGCATTTCCGACAAAATGCTTTCACGCACTGCTGCATTTCATTCATGTAACTTAAATGCGAAGAATTTCTGAGCAAACTTCGCCGACTTTGAGCGTATCTATCTATCTATCTATCTATCTATCTATCTATCTATCTATCTATCTATCTATCTATCTATCTATCTATCTATCTATCTATCTATCTATCTATCCGCCTACGGCTTCTAACTCTCGCGTCGTTGTGATATTGTATAAATACCTAAATTGCTATAGCATAACATAACTGTATGGCGAGCATATTCACTAGTCATAACTTTAAAATCTTGAAATTCATGACATAATTCATGATTTACAAATCATGATGTTGCTGCTTTTGCAATGGGTTCTTTCCCAATACACGTTACAAAACTGATATTGTATGAAATGACTACATGGTGAACATAAATAACAGATGCTAACGTACAAATGATGACATGCATGTCATGTGAGTCATGACCAAACGCCATGCTCAGAGTACGCACGTGCTCGTTTCGAAAGCTTAACATATACGGAAAAGGGCATTATGGGACTTCAATGTATTACGATGGTATATGAGTGATATAAACATGATAATTGTGAAATGCGTGTCATGTGAGAAAATGGCAACATACCGTACTCACGATGTGATCGCGGCCATTTCCCTAGCTCCACAAATACCGAATTCGGTACCACTTGACGTGAACAGATGTCAAAGGTAAATGACACGTCCAAACATAATAATCTTGATTTGCGTGTCATGTAAAACATGAATAAATTCTACTCATACGCCCTCGTGGCCTCTTTGCTGGCTCCACATATACTAGGCTTGGTATCATGCGACGTTAATTGACGACGAAAATAATTGAGATGTCTAAACATAACAATCATCATAATAGTCAAAACTGATGAGTGCAGTAGCCTAGTCAGTGCAACAATAACAACAGAATGAAAAATGACAGAACGAAAAAAAAACTAGCCAAACAGCCAACGTCATCTTTTTGTCGCCCGGGCCTTTCAAATATAGCCAGTCTGGCGTAAAGTAGCCAAATCTGTCCACCCTGTTGGCACCCAGCATGCCCTACAAAACACAACCCGAAACTGAACATCTGCACAACGAAAAGAACAACATGTGTAAACAACCAACACATAGTGAACTATACGACAGCACAATACATGACGACCGGCGACGCCCATATGTCCATCCATCCATCCATTAACGCTCAAGCGTTAAAATTACCCATGCGCATTCTCGCCGTTCTTAGAGAGAGATGAACAGTCAATTACTTGTGACATGTACGTCATCATTGCCAACCGGTTCCCCCCGATCTACATGTAAACGGCCCGCATCCAGCGCATGATGCTCATCGTCCCTATATCTTCTGTCCGCGGCATTCTTAACACAGGCTCACGTGATTTTTTCGCCGATCATAAACATTAACATTTAGTTTGGGCAAACTACCAGATCCGACTTATCTAAAGCATTGTTTTTTGTAAGATACACCATGTGGCCTTTTTTAGAAACTCTCAACTTTGTACTTTATGATCGGCACCCAGATTTTATACATTTTTAGAATGGTATTGATTTTGTCTGGAATACAGTAACCTAATCTTCAGCAATGACCATTATATGAGCCATGAGAGAAGAAGTTTTTTTATATGGCAATGTTAGTCGGCTGAAGTTTTGTTAAATTGCAGTCTGACAAAGCCAGAGGATTCCCTGTGATGCATGCCCGTAAAGTTTTGGCCGCATCATACTGAAATATGCTTCAGGTGAGTGTCGGAAATATTCTCATGGCATACCTGACAGTGGAATCACGTTATATTTAGAGAAAAAAAGTTTCATCGCCATGTCTGTGATGTCTTGCATAGGATTATCACCTGATGCATTTCGGTAGGCCTATATTTCGCTCCAGAATTTTATTGCTTGCATGAAGGCACTCACATTCTCAACCTACGAAGCTGCCGTTCCTACTCCTCACTACGGGCTCGAGGCAATCAAATTCATCTATTGGCAAGGTTTTCACAGCAGTAATTGCATTCCCCCAGAACACATGACGCGATGAGGAGTCCGCTGCTGGAGGCACTGGAAAAGAACTCTATGGGATGAAACCTATACTTCATCTCGAAGCTCCTGCATGTACTCTCAAGGCTAGAAGGCCCCTCAGCCAATAAGTATGCCTATTAACCTCTACACATGTTTTCATCTGTGTCGCGTCACCTGATCAGCACTTTTCTGGCGTCTGCTCTCATGTGTAAGGAACAGGTCACATGAGAAATTTTAGTAAGGCACTGTAAGCTGTTGCACCTTAAAGAAAAACTTTGTGCCACGAGAATTTTTGAACTGGTTCATTTGAACTGGATGCGAGGAGGTGAACTTGAAAACTGCCACATGATTTGGGTACGCTTCGCAAGCCGCATGCCTTTCCTGCCGACTTCGGTATCGGAGCAACGTGGAGCCGGAATATGACATGACACAGACGCATCAACACGTCATGCGCATGTAAAGTTACCTTCGCAAAGCATGCCAAAACCAGGTCGCGCACGCAAGCAGTGTCGTTTCAGTGTTCTCTGTATTGTACTGCCTGTTTATGTGGAGTCAATCCCTGTATGCGTACATGTTTGGAGAGGCTGGCATAGACCATATACCCTTACCACGATGCACAGTGTCGCACCGCTAGAACTGCTCTAAAAGACGATGCACCAGCAACACGCCAAGAATTGTCAGAGCAGGCACTAGCATGATGCGAGAACAACGAGAACACCAATGCAAACGAAAAGGAGGCAGCTTAGTTTAACATCTCGCTCAATACAAAAATTAAAAAAATTACATGCACAGATTTCATTTGTATGCTTTATTAATTTTATCAACCTTGATACTTCTATTCAAGCAACAGATTCCACAAATTACACACGTAGCATCGAATATTTCTTGCAGTGTCACATACGACGATAGTTATAGCGCGAGAACAAAATGACGACACAGAGACAAGAAGGACACAAAAGACACGTGTATGAAGGTGTCCGTCTTGTCTCTGTGTCGTCGTTTTGTTCTCGCGCTATAACTATCGTCATGCCATACCAACTTGCCCAAGCTGCCACACTTGTAAGTCACATACTACTTTGATGTACGGAGAACCATTCCTTGCCGACTCTGCCATTTTACCTCTTTACGGGGCGCGCAGATTGCACATCTTGGCAGACGACACCGTGAGCGCCCAGTGCAAGCATTTCTCTTGCCTGCTAGTAATTCTCAAACCGGAGGAGGGGCCCTTTAATGTGTTTAAAGACAGACGAGAAATCGATCGTGTACGATCATTCTTGGTTAATACGGTGCTACAAGACCCTTCTGGCTTATTAGCGGTCTGGCTATTTGCTCCTGCTGCCTTTCTCAGCCATGTAGAAAACAAACACACCCAGAAAGCGTCTTTAATCGATTATTGACACTGAACTAACCATGCTGGACAATAAAAGAAGAGATCGTGTTCTGCAAACACTGCGAAAAAAAAGCATAGCTATGCTAAACTGCACCTTTGCACCGTAATGAAGTAAAGCATTGTTGCTTTTCTGTGGAGACATAGGTCCCACATGTATTTCTTCAAAAATGAGAATTGTTGCAAAAATTTATTGTGGCTATGTTTAATAAATTGGGGGCCAAAATTATATTTTGTCTGCCTGTATTTGGTGTCTCAAAACCCGATTTTTAGTGCCTATAAATTCGGCCTCTGTATATCACCTCTGAAATTTCTAATGATGTTTGATGTTTTGTGGCGCAAGGGCCATTTCATGGCCAAGAAGCGCCAATTCATTATACTAAAGATATGGACAATAATTTTGATAAGCGGCTGTATAAGGGCCATAAACTTCCTCACGGTAAGGCGGGTAAAAACATACAAGTAATAAAATCATGGCCATGCCGTGAAAGGTGTGTGTGGTGTGAATAGATGAGAAAATTGGTGATAATAAAAAACGATGGTGGACATGTGTGGCATTAGAACAAGTGCCTCACTCGTTCAAGTGTCTCACGGCCTTGCGTCCAACGGCCATGAGGCAAGTGCTTTGTTGTGTATACACCGCAGCCAAAACCTCTCTGGAGAGGTCGTGCTACGGAATGCCCGGGTATATGAT